GTAAAAAAAAAAAAGTAACCTTTTTATTTTAAAAATGACCAAAGTCCAGAAAGTAACATCTCTAGCTTCATTTTCTAAATAATAGTACTAAAAAATTTATTTACCAAGCCATTTGGTTTCATTTTTGATCCCTGAGTTAACAGAATGATTTTCAATTTACAGTATCTTTTTGGAAGTTTGGTAAAAATCAAAGTAGCTATATGCCGCATTTCAGAATTCAACTATTCCTTTACCAAAAAAAAAAAAATCCGCATACTTAAAAGAGTAGGAAACTAAATATCTAAATATGTCGTTTTGGAAAAGTTGTTTCTTCTCCTGCTGCCATGGCTAATGGCACAGATTTCTAAGAGCATCTTTCAAAGAATATGGCATCATACCCTTGTTGAAAATACTTTCAATTTAATTCAAATAGAACATAAGACAGCAGTTGTTTGTTTATTTCATTTTGTTGTTTATTTCATGGACCACTAACATTATAAAGCAAGCCCTACAAAGCCCTTGGAAATTATCCAGGCTGCAGTTTTGTTATTAGTCACTTTCACTGAAGCTACTGTTTCTTCATGGAAAAATAGAACATTGACAAAAGTACAAGATGTAATGCGTTATTGATGATACATTTTTAAGAGAAAAAAAAGCCACCCATTCTATTAGTTGAAACTCTTTATGAGATAAATATAATATGGAAGTTATTGTTTTGATTAGTAGCATTTTCAATGATAATAGGCTGAAAATGAAAATACCAGTAATCAATGATGTTTTTACTTTGAGTACTGAAATGTCTACAGTTTTAAGGAACAATCAGTTTGGTGATTTTGTTTTTTCTTAGTATGTTAGATTTTTTTCTTAAATATAGACTTCAAACAAACCTTAAAAGCAAAATTCAGCTGTTTGGCAGTTAGTTACTATAAACACAACTTTCTCATTTGCCGAGCTTGGCTACCAACCCTTAGTGAGCTGGCCCTGTCACAATATGATTAGAAGGGTGTTCTTTCCAGCAGTTTAAATAACTGGCGTTCTCACCATGTACTGGTGCTGATAAGTTTCACAAAACAAGCAAAGCATAGGAACCTGAAGTAAACTTCAGAAAAACATATTGATTTAATTATTTAGCTCTTTCAGGAAATTAGAAGACACCAACAGCACTCAGATAGTTTGAGGTGGCAAATTTTTATTTCAGTTGGTCTCCAGAGGTTGCCTTGTTTTAAAAAGGGGAAACATAGGAATATATTTTCAAGGCAGTTTTTTAAGAACTATTTTAAAGGATTCAACTATCCTTAAGCATTTCTGATGCTTACTAGATAAATAGTAAATTATGCCTTCTTGTTTATGATCTTGGAATTCACAGTGACACCTGCTGGTAATTATTGAGAAAAAAACATTAAAAGTCCCCTTTTTCTTGGTTCTACTTACTTAAAGACTTACTAGAATTTTCTAATTTTAAAAAATCTACTTTCAGCAATAATTTGCTAAGATTCTATCTCTTCATCCTTCAGAGTTACATTCAATTGATCTAGACCAGCGCTATATTGGACTATTGTATGTCCTACATAATTAGGTAATAAAGTATATTATTAACCAGAGTACTGACTGGATGCAAAATTTAAGATTTCCCCAATCGTAATATTTTTGGTGGAGTGATCTTGGGAATATAGTTATAATTAAAAAATTATTATTATGCCTTTTAGTTTTTAAAAGTTAAAAAGGGAAATATCTGTCATTTGGTGTGACATAGTAATTTGTGTTTTCATGTAAAGTTTGGACAGAATTCAGATTTTTCTGTGAAAAAATTAAACTTACAATATTTTAATGAGAGGGAAAATTGAAAATCCAGTATAAAATGTTTCAAATTAGTTTCCATAGGACTTATAAGACTTTATTATTTGTTTATGCAGGGATCTGCAAAGTTAGAAAAAGCCGAAATATTGCAAATGACCGTGGATCATTTGAAGATGCTTCAGGCAACTGGGGGTAAAGGTAAGTAGGTGACTTCATTTTTTTCCTCCCCTTTTCATCTTTCTGTTTTTCATTTTTTCCCTCTAGGATTATAAGGAAGTCATAGTTGAACAGTTCTTTAACAAGCTAAGATAGGAGGTCCCAGATTAAAGCCATGGAAATCAATGCTAATGGCAGGATTGAACTCGTGGGAAAGAACTTCTGGAACAAAAGAAGCACTTGACCCTGGGCTTGTGTTTGCTTTCATAATACTGTGGGAGTAAAGCTTCATTTACAGCAGCCTGGTCAGAGATTTGTTTGGGACTTTAGAAGCACATGCTAGAATCTGTACAGAAAGACAAACACAAACATCCAAACATAAACAGGAGGTTAGAGGCAATCTTTTTCTTCTTTCCCTTCCCCCAAAGCCCCCATTAAACCAGATCTAAGACTCACTAGAATGCAGCTATCCCAAAAGAAGTGACTTTAGAATTACTTTCATTACTGTTTTCAGATTTTGGTTTGTCTTGGACTTAGACCAGACAGAGCATTTGAAGTACAGGTAGTGAATCTCTACTGGGAACTGTTAATAGAGTAGTCATTCCTGCAGAGAGCAGACAGGAGCAAACAGGAGCAGGTGCCCTGGGCCCAGTGCCCTGGAGAGATGTCCTCTATACCGGATAATGATTCAGGGAACAATTGTCCAGGGGGTCTGGGACAGATTCTCACTTTATGCTAAAAACAGAGTCAAGATCCTGAAAGCTATAATATTCATTCAGATTTCACTGTTCTGTTTCTCACACATCACTCAGACTGAATTTGGCCCTTTTGTATCTTTTCCACCCTCAGGCAAGCCTTTACTATTCATCTTAGTGAAGGGTGTTATTTAATATATTTGACAGCTGGGAAAGGACAGAGAATCACAAGTTGCTAAGTGCTGCTGCACCTACCCACTGGAGGCTTCTCTGTGCTCAGCATCAGCCTTTTACTATGTAATGTCACAGTTTGTCCCAGAAAAAGAGCATTGGAGGAAAGTGGCTGGTTCCCAATTGGTAATGGAAGTATTTCAGTATTTAACTCTTCTATGGCTATACTGCTGAGTACATGTGGAACACAGCCCTGATTATCACCCAGTCTTTCTCTGTGTCAGGTTGGGCGGCGGGGGGAGGGGGTGGCGGTGATCATCATACAATGAAGCCCACATGGTGTGAGTTACCCTTGGTTACACCTTCTCAAGGAACTTTCCTGAATGAATGGGCATGGAACTGTGATTTTTACTCATTAAATGTAACCCTAAGGATAAGATGCAAACATTCTTACATAATGGAGAAGAGGACTGGATGAAACCTTAAAAGCCAAGAGTCCAGCCCATCTTGGCCACTGCCTCACCTTTGACCTGAGGTAGAAGTACACTGCTGTACTGCGAGGCCTGTTCTAGTGCTCTGAGGATTAAAGGGCCCTTCAGCCCCATAATTCTGTCTCTACACTTGCTACTTCAAGATATTGGGAGACCTATTGAGTTAGTGGTGGTACAAGAAAAGTTGCTTGATTACTCTGCCTCCCTTGGTATTGTTAGCCACAAGGCTAAGAATTCTTATCAGGGTTTCAAATATTTGGCATGAGCTATACTTCTAAAAGAGTAATATTGTTCTTATGCCCTGTTATAAAAACTAAGTTCCATCTCAGTTGCTATTCTTGGCTACCTGAACAGCCCTGAAATTCATCCCAGAATAGTTTATGTACAGACATTTCCAAGCAGGCTCCATACAAGTAGCCTGACTGCCAGGTTGTTAAATAAATCATTGAGCAGGAGAATTTGTGGACCTTGGGGAAGGGGGACTGGCAATGTGGGCTCCCATTGTCCAAGATTCACAACTGCCATAGGGGCCTCATAGTGTAGTGGTAAAGAGCATGGACTTTGCAGTTGAGTTGCCTGGTTTCATATCCTGTCTCTGCCATGGATTAGCTCTGTGACCCTGGGTAAATTGCTAACCCTCTCTGAGCCCCAATTTCCTCACCTGTAAAATGAAGACTGTGCTAGTGTCTACTTCACAAAGTTGTTGTGAGTTTATTCACTTAAAGCTGTAGAACATTGATGGCACAGATTATGTGGTATGGACCCATGTGCTATCATTTTTGGCCCAATATCCATTCAGAAGAGATAGCTGCTCATCGTCATTTCCCTCTGTATTCACCAATAGGATAGGAATTACATAATTTATATTCCTTAAAGTACAACAGAGAACTCAGCCATATACAACAACATATAGCTGACAAACTACAAATTTCAATTATTTCATGCCTGCTCATGAAAATTCTCAGAAGCCCCTAGGGTTCCAGTTCTGTTGTTTCATTCTTTACCGTAGTTTCTAAAGAGGACTTAGGAGAGTAACCTAAATTTCTAAATCCATTTGGGTTTCTGAACTCTGTCTACTCTGACAATCACCTCCCTCCTTCTCACATGGAAGTCAGAATCTGCAGACCCTCATGTGAAATCCCTCTGTGGAGGCAGCAGCTTTAGGAAGAGCTTTTCCTCCTGATCCCAGGGACTTTGTTGCTAACTAGGCCAAAGTCCTGGGATACCTATTTTTGTTGATCTTCCACATTTCATGATATTCTCTTATATCATCTTTGTGCTGTTTTGTTACATTTTAATGGTATATCTTTTTTCCCCAAATGTCTTTTTGACTTCCAAATTTCCATTGGAATTCTAACTTTAGGATTTTGAATATTGTGACTACTATTTTCCAAAGTGCTTTGATTACAGAATAAGATAGTCTAATTAGTAATAGGTGATAAATAAAGTAGGTAATGCTTTGATCTGCAAAATCATAAAAAAAGATAATATAGTAAATGCCTTACATGAAAATAACCTTGTCTGAGTGTGATATTTCTCATTTATGTATACACACATTTCAAAAGGGAGTAGACTAAACTTATAATTCGAAAATTGTTAAAAATACTTGCAAACAAGAAAGAATCTGAAAAAAATATGTTTGTATATATTAGAGGTCAATCATTCAAAGTAGTGACATTTTCCCAAATGTCTGATTATTATTATACCCTAATTTGGCACTGATAATAATCAGATATTACTGTTTCTCTATTCTAATGTATTAACTTTGGATAAAAATAGATTCTCATAAATATGACCCAGCTCCAGACATTTTTATGGTAGTAACCTTAGGCATGAATGCATACACACTGACACAGTTAACACACTTTTTTCTTGGGGGATGCCAGAAAAAAGTAAACTAACCAATGAAAAAAATACATTTAATCTTCAGGAAAACTATAAGTTATAGTAATCTTATATCAGTAATGCAGTCTTATATTGCCTCATAGAAAAATAAGATCTTCAAATTGATAACCCCCAAATTTTTTAATCATTTTGTTTTTGTTAAATTTTTTCATACAAAGTGATAAGATGTTTTTACTTTGTTGATTAAAAAAAAAACCCACTATGAGTCAAGGAGCATTTTTGAATTTGTTAAGATATAATAAGTGATGTTACAAGAAAATTCCCTTTTTTAGAAAGTCCCAAGGCTGCTAAGATTAATTTCACATCTCTGTTATAAATGCCAAGAGAGTGAGAATGTTTCAGATAAGCCCTTTAATCTCCAACTTGTATGACAGAGACAGAGAGACTGGAACTCTCTTTTACCGAGAAAAAGTTTACTAGGAATTTCATTATTCACACTACAAAAAGAGATATCATTTTTTTTTTCTAGAAGTGTTTGAAATGAAGATGTTCTTAATTTTTTCCCCCACTATGCTATTTGGTTGCAAGAACAACTGAAGTATATAACTGCCACGAGTTGTCACACATGTGAATTGCAAACTACACTTTCTTAACTTCTACAAAAATTACAACCATAAATAGCTGGCCACGTTTTCAGCTCATTCTACTTAAATCTTCTGAAGGACGGAATAGCACATGGTGGTTAGTCAGTAATTGGATCATTTTTTTCTCTCGCTCTCTCTCCTGGCCCCCACTCTGCTCAAACACCCTTTTAGGCTACTTTGATGCACATGCTCTTGCCATGGACTTCATGAGCATTGGATTCCGAGAGTGCTTAACGGAAGTGGCGAGGTACCTGAGCTCGGTGGAAGGCCTGGACTCCTCAGATCCACTGCGGGTGCGACTGGTTTCTCATCTCAGCACGTGTGCCTCGCAGCGGGAGGCGGCAGCAATGACGTCCTCCCTGGCACACCACCACCACCCGCTACATCCGCACCACTGGGCGGCGGCCTTCCACCATCTCCCCGCAGCCCTGCTCCAACCCAACGGACTCCACGCCTCGGAGTCAACGCCTTGTCGCCTCTCCACAACTTCAGAAGTGCCTCCTGCCCATGGCTCTGCTCTCCTTACGGCCACGTTTGCCCACGCAGATTCTGCCCTTCGGATGCCGTCGACGGGCAGCGTTGCCCCATGCGTGCCACCCCTCTCCACTTCTCTCTTGTCCCTCTCAGCTACTGTTCATGCGGCTGCCGCAGCAGCCACCGCAGCGGCTCACAGCTTCCCACTGTCTTTCACAGGGGCCTTCCCCATGCTCCCTCCAAACGCAGCTGCAGCAGTGGCAGCCGCCACAGCCATCAGTCCGCCTCTATCAGTATCAGCCACATCCAGTCCCCAGCAGTCAAGCAGTGGAACAAACAGTAAACCTTACCGACCCTGGGGGACAGAAGTGGGCGCTTTTTAAGTTTTCACTGAACTTCTTGCAATAGTAACCGAATGTCCTTCATTTCAGAGTCAGCTTAAAACCTCTCTGCACCCTGAAGGTAGCCATACAGATGTCTACAGATCCACAAAGGAACAATAAAGCTATTTGAGACACAAACCTCACAACTTGGAGATGTGGTATTATCTTCTTTTTTATTTTTTTAAGGCAGCTTGGTTACTGACATCAGCAACTTTTGAAAACTTCACACTTGTTTCCGTTTAGAATTTTCCTGGAAGATGTATAGACTGTACCATCCAACAGTGCATCAGTATGTATCAGAATTAGAGAAGAAAAATGCCCTTTCTGAATTCTCTTGAAACTAGATGGAAAAAAAATATTTGTGTTTCATAAGTGCCTGAGCTAGTAAAGTTTTTTTTCCTAAACATGACATTGCACAAATAAAGAAGTGCATAGTGGTTAGATTAAAAAAGGAAAGGGGCAGAAGTCTTCGGTTAGGCTGCAGATGTACAATTCCAGACAAAAGTACTCTTTTGAAACCAACAGGTTTTGATTGGCCAAAAGGATTGCCGAAAATAATTTTCAAATTTAAAGACCTAACTTTATCTTAATTTGCTTTCTTCTTACAGACTTGCCAAGTGGTGATATTCAGTAACGCATAAGCAATTATTTCATCAGTGCTCAGATTAACAAGTATTTCTGCCCTGCCTGTAAACCCCCAGGCACTTTTTTTTTTCATGGCTCAAAATATGGTGCTTCTTTATATAAACTACACATTTAGAGAATGCACCTAGGAACACTTGCCCACAGAGGCTGTTTGATTCATGCCAACCTGAAAACTCCAGTTTGTAAAAGATTAATATATTCAGTTTTATTTGGACTATTTTTACATACGTATCCTCTTCATTTTGTCCTGATAATGAGTACTATCTATTTTTGTCACCTTTTTGGAAGAAGTTCCATTTCTGGAGGTGATGAGACAGGGAGAGAGCATTGGAAAGAGAAGAATCACGATTTTTAAAAGCTCTTTGTCAAGCTCACAATTGCCTTTGACCCTAAATCAAGATGAATGTATGCAATGGGATGTATATAAGTTATTTTTGTCCATGCCTAGACTAGTGCTACATAAAAGTGTTTTGGTTTTGTTTTGTTAATTTGTTTAATGACAAAATAATCTCTTAATACATTGAAAGTAAGCACGGAGATTTTGTTTGAAAGGTAATGACACAGCATGTATTGTTATGCACTTCATTTCTCTGCTGTGTGGAGAAAGCAATAAACATGAAAATGTTAAACATTATGCAAAATTATACTTTTAAATATTTGTTTTAAAATTACTGTACCTAGTCTTTTTTGCATTATTTTGTAACCTTTTCTATGCAAAAGTCTACATAACGCTAATTAAATGAAGTCCTTCTTGACTATTTTTATGTGGATGAGTTGCTTTGCAGAATGGAAAGTTGTTATGAGTTTCAGGCAAGACCTTCCTTCACTAACAAGTTTAGCCATGGCTTTTCTTTTTCTCTTTCAAAGTCATTTGATGTAATTCATAGCTTGCTTGAAAATAGCATTTATCTGAGCTTGTAAATCAACTAAGCATAGGTAGATATGTCATTATTTGGAGGCAGGAAGTGATCGGTTTCCTCTGTCTTTATTCTTAACCATGGTTCTTGGAAAAGTGCAAATACAGGATCTCTAATAGTATACTGAACATAGGCTAATAAGCAAGAATGTGTCATACATTCTGTAACTCAAAGAAACATTTGTAGAGTGTTTTTAAAGGTATCATAATAGGTATATATACATATACCTCCTGATGATAAATTCTCTATACCTACCTCAATGAAAATTTATTTTGAAGCTGTAGAAATTACACAGATATCATTCCTTCAGTGAAGGCTGAAAGACGCTATTTCAGAGTTCCTGGAGCTATTGGGCCAAACATATGGAAAGAATAAAAATGAATATTTTTATTATGCATATTAATTATGCTCAAAGGTAAAACTGGGAAGCTTCTTAAATTAGTTTTGAAAAATCAAGCATATAGTTTATCTAATTTCTTCTGTCTGGAACTGTGTAAAAAAAATGAACAAAAACATCACCTTGTTCCTCCTTTCTGAAGCTCTGTGGTTATTATATCTGTTAACTCTGATGGAATTAGGTAGCAAAAGAAAATAGATTTAATAGTATTTGAAGTTTGCTTTTTAATCATGATTTGTGGTCAACTGGCATAGAAATCATTTTTATTTAGGATCTAATAGCTGATTCTGTGCCTATTGTAATGTCAGCATTTAACGAACTTTTGGAATGTAAACCGTTTTACAGATCAGAATTTTTTAAAATTTTAATTCAATATTAAGATAATACACCTGCTTTCCTCCTTTTCTCTCTTTTCCTCCCTGACATTTTTCTTCTTCCCAGGTACATATGTGGTATTATTTTTCAGTTTAATTGATTAAAATATTTGCAAACCAACTTGCCACATAGTTGTTAGGGGTTGTCAGTGTTCCTAAATATAATCATTGTCAGTAATTTTAGTCATATAAAATTAATTGATCCTCAGTCAATGTTTCACATCATCAGCTTTTAACATTACATTTTTTTTTTTCATTAACTTTACCATTGAGTTTTCCATATCTGTCAAATGTGTTTTGAAAGTGGTGTTCTACCTTTAGGTGTGATTTTCATATTGCTACCAACATGGGAAAACAATTTGTTTTTATATTTCAAGGGAAAAAGAATATTTAGGATTTGATTTATTGGTGGTTTTTATATGTGTAAAAGTTAGTTGCAAAATTAACTCAGGATTTTTGGTAAAGGAAAAAAGGAGTGGGGAGAGAAAAGGAGAAATTTTTAGAAATTCGTTCTTCCCCAAATGTTAAAAGCTATGTGTATGCCTCATTAGTACACAGTTTTGCATTTCACATTTGTGAGCCATGAGGTATTTATTGAGTAACTGCTGTGTACCCAGCACTGTGCTGTATATGTCAGGTTTCAAATGGTATGTAGTAACACATGAAAGTGTGATCCTACCACCTGACAGTGAAAGGTATGGCTGACACCCTACTTTTCACAGGGACCCTCAGAAGAGATCTGTGCCCTGAAGGTGAGGAAAGGGGTTTTGGGAACTTTGATAGGCTTTTTGATCTTGAAATCTGCTATTACACATATGATATTTCCTATCATATTTGAAGAAATCTGCAGGACTTTTAAAGTAGTGTTGAAACATAAAAATATCCAAATAGTAATGTGAGTGACAGCTCTATGATCTACATGTACATGTGTATTAACAATCATAATGAAGCCTTCTGGATTATCTTCCTTATATATTCATCTTGTTCCTTTTGCCATTAATTAAGTTAGCAATGTAAGAGTAATCACCTTAGGTGACATCAACAGAAAGCAAGATGATTTTAGAATTCCATGTTTTTATAAGTCTAGGATTCCATCAATTGCAAGATATACTATTGGTTTAAGGTCAGTTTTTATGGAAAAAAAAAAACAACAACCACAATGTGACTTTACGCATTGATCATAAGATATCCCAATTTCCAGAGTGTAAATGAAAAAAAAGTATCTTGGATTTGAGAATACTATAACATAATATTATATTCTTGAATGTAATTTTTTAAATCCATAGCTAGAGATGTACATAGATTAAAATGTGGCTGATTTAGCTTACTTTAAGAATATCAGGATAGAGTCCTAGTCAAATCAGAATCTGGATTGACTTTATAAGTTTAATGATATAAAGATAAATGTATTTTTTAAGCTTTTAATGTTTCTATTGCCCAATGGGACTAATCTTAGCTATACATTTCACTGAAGAATGGGATTTGACTTTCCTTGTAATTCTTTTAAGATCTAAGCAATAACTGAGGTTGTGAATGTTTCAACAACTACAACAAAGCATTATAGCCAATATGACATCATAAACTGTGACTATAGATCATATTTTTGGAAGGATAAGTTTTTGAACTCAGAAGATCTTTAAAAGAAGAAAAGCTCCTTAGCTTCCATAGACAATCTTGAAGGATCAGAGTCATATGAGAAATGGTTCCCTAGGTAACCAGGTGGCACTTTCTCCCTCACTTCTAACTTCACAGGAACAGACAGGAATGGGGTTGGTCAGGGAATCGGGTCTTCCTGTTTAACTGACAAAATCAGCACCCACTGTAAGTCACAGATCCAAAAAGGAAAATGTAATACTAACTGCTAATACTGTTCCATTGTTCTCTATGCTAAGCTCCATGCTAGGTGTTTGAACTCTGGTGTCACGTTTAAGCCTCATAGCTATCATATAGAATACATAGTATCAACATCTTTACATGTTAGGAATTGAAGAATAAGAGGTTAATTGTCCAAGATTATACATAACAGGTTGAGCTATTGTGTAACCCAGGCCTGTCTGACTCAAGTCCATACTTCGACCTCTAGGCTGTGGCTTTAGATAGTGCTATTTTGGTCTAAGGCTCATTCAGACTAACCAAGAATATTTCAATCTGCCTGGGATCACTTTGAACTAATAACAAGGGTAAATCTATCCACAGTATTAGTATAAAATCCTCGACCAAATCACCCTTTTAATATATGATAGGATGAAAAAAGAACAACTCCACTTTACTTTACAACATAAAAAAAAAAATTATTTTGTCAGTTTCCTAATTTTAACCAACTTTCGAGCAGATCATATCTACCTTATCTAATCTGTGAACTAAAATGATGAAGTATTAAGACTAGATATCTGAGTAAATTGAGTTTGAAAAAAAAATCCTCAGTCTTCCACTGGATATAAAAGAGAGATTTTTTTTGAGGGGAGAATGCTGGATTATACTGAATGTTTATACATTCTAGGTCCATCATGTCATAAAATGACATTCTTCATTTGGCCTATGAAGACCTGCCCTGTAACCCATTCACTTTCATAATTCTCATTATCAGGGAGGACTTTTTAACTAACCTAAACTCCAGGCTACAGTTAAGCATGTTTTCTATAGCAGTTAACAGTTTATATGTGTATAATTTTTCAAAAATCTAGAGACATTTTAAATGCGTCTTAATTCTTAGTCTTCTGAGAGCTGAATTTTCTGTTTCCTCAACCTCTTGTCATTCTATTAGTCTATGGGAATTAAGAGATTCATGCATATGAAATGGTATATGCATGTAATAGGATGCTTTATAAATTTTTTTTTAAGGGATAGAAAGAGGTTGAGTGTGTTTGGCAAGCTAACCTAAAGTTTCTTTCATTAAGTTTTGTGTTTTTATTGGGTGAAAACAAAGTCACATTTTCTCATATGGAAGAAAAAGTATTTTGCAAAGAATGTTATTATAATGTTTCACTTGAACAAATGGGGTGATAAATTTAAAATTGCTAGTAAATTGAGTAATTGAGTTAACCCTTTCTTTCCCAGTTATAGCTATCAAGCTGAATATTATTTACCGTAGTGTAAAACTCGGCTTCCTAGATCTTTCTTCACTTCTTTTTAAACTTTTTTCTTAATTACAGAGAATCTTAAAAAACAATTTTTTCCCCCACAAGAAGTAATGCTGGAGCTTCATGTAACTCAGTTTGTATAGACATTCTCCTGAGCTAGCAATGGCTGGCCTCTTCCCATGTCCTAGCCAGTCTGTCTCAGCACAACTGCTTTAAATAGCCTTCCCTTGGCATCCGGGAAGATGATGGAGCTGTGTTTTCAATCAGGAGGGCAAAACACAGGGGCACATAGACTATATTTTACTCTTGTCATATATGTCACAGTCATAAGCCACCTCTTAAACAGGAACTAAGCCAGTCACTTTTTGTCTCACAACCAGCCATTGTTAGGTTTATTTTATTATTTTGACATATTTCTAAGAGCAGAAATACATGCATAACATAGTACACAGATAGTCGGGTGTGGTAATATCATCAAAACCCACATACAGCCTGGTGGCCGTCAGATGAAGGTACTCCCAAGCTCAGTACTCAAGTGTTGCCTATGGTAACAAATATCCTTTACTGCTCTAGTAAAGGAGACTTGATGAGCCATTGTGCCCCCTTTCAAAGATAAGTAAGCCTCCCCCTCCCCACTAAAAGAAATCTATGAGTTCATTATTGCTGAATTATTAGCAGACTTAAAGCATATGTGCTGCCCCAAGAGAACAGACGTAAACACCATGTGCCTCCCAACTATAACTATCATGGGAACGGGGCTCAATAATAAACCCATGAATTATCTGACCTACTCTGACCAGTTCTCATAACAGAGCTACTTCTTTGATGTGACCATCAAACCCATAGCATGCCCAAGAGCGGGAGCCACAGACAAAACAACACAGGAGCAATAACTCAATATAAATATATTTAGCCATTTCTCCAAACACCAAAGTCCGGCAGGCAGCTTCCTTGCTCTGGGTATCAGGAGCTTGAAAAAAAGGAGAAACA